TATATATATATATATATATATATATATATATATATATATATATATATATTTCTAAAAAAAATAATGAAGAATTTTGAAAGATAAAAAATGTACTTAAAAAGAAACATTATAACTTATACTTACATTTACAATTAATAAAAGAGAAAGTTATTTGTGTTAAATATGGAATAAATTAAAAGTTGGTCAACATCACCCAAACATGGTCGTGTGACTATTATTAAACGTTAAATTATCATAAAGAATTTCTATTTGAAAAATTAATTAAATACATGCATTATGCCCGTATATTTATAATACTAGATAGAGGTGGCCCGTGCAAGGTTAGAAGATTTTTGTTAGTTGGATCTAAACATATAGAAATGTATGAGCCGGCTAAATGTACATATGAAGATACATAGATATATAGAGATCGTTAGATATTGTAAATATAGTTGGCAATTGTTTAGTTTGTTTTTCTAGCTGTATTATTTAGATATTTACATCCTATTATATTTACATAGTTCTGCCTTTTAGCTGCGTGAATGTAATTGTATTTTTTTGCAGGCCAACAATATTTATAGAAATAATTCAGAGAATCGGGTGCATGCTCAAAGATGAAAAAGGACAAGTCAATCAGAAGGGCGGTTGTGGAGGCTTCGGTAAGGGAAACTTCTCTGAGTTGTTTAGATCGATCGAGGAATACGAGAAGATGTTTGAAGTCAAACATGTTAATCAAGTAGCTGCTGTTGAATGAATATATACGAGCATTAGCTTGCAATCTAATTGAAATAGAAGTTCTCCAATGAAATGATTTCATAGTAGAGAGTAAAGATACATAGTGCATAATATGTACCATCTCATTTCAACTTATCAAAAAGCAGATCATATAGTTTAAGAAGAAGCAAAAAAATTTAATTCATATTTCGAGTTTGTTATATTATCAAAGAAATAACTTGCACATATGTAAAATTTGAATACAAAAATTAAGCAATCATGCTTTGGCCTTCACTATCAATGCCCCTCTGTATAGTTAAGTCGAATATTGATGATCGAAGGTATGCCTTCTGAAATTGGCTGACCTTCAGAACAATAGACTACTGAAATTCAACAAAATATGCAAATTATGTAGACATAACAAATTAGATGAAAAATTCATGGTACATTAGATAATGATTCAAGAATTAAAGTTTATAAGTTCGTATGCTGAGATTTTTCAGAAGCTCCTACATATAAATCTATCAGTGCAGAAATTAGCTTAATTGTACCACGACTACAATAAAATTCAATTGATTCGTATTCAAACTTCTTAGCCGAGTCAAGTTATGAACCTTTGTTAATGGAACATATACAGAGCATAATCTTCTAATATTAGGTATATTTTCTCTTCACATGCCAAATAACCATAAAAAACAAAAAAAACAAACAAACAAGGAACACGCACCAACGGAGAGGGAAAATCATTTTAAAGCTGGAAGTACGTGACAAATATTTAATAACATATGCCTCTCTATCTATCAAAAGTAATACACTTGAGAGAGTTCAAAATAGTCGGGAAGAGTAAGACTTATCTCAAATCTCTTCTACAAATTTTGTTAATGGTCACAGAGAAACTTTTGCATCAAGTTCTTCATCAAATAGGTTCAGTGATTCACCTTTTATATCTGAATCCAGCAGCTCCGGATCACACTCTTGGTCCTCCTCTTGGTCTCAGAAGGTAATAATAGCCACAATAACATTGTTATACAAGCAAAAATATGAGGAATGGTAATTTTGAAAACAAGTTTGGTTGGTGAAATAAGAATTTATCAAAATTTTGGGCTATCCCCAAAAGCTGGCTATCCAACACAAATCTCTTTAGAGACCTACCTTAATTGTTGTTAGGAATTAAACTGATAATATTATGTTCTTGGGTTTCATGATAAATAATCAATATGGAATAACAAGCCAAACCCTTTTCATAAACTATG